GAACCGTCTCCTGTGCACACAGGAGCAACGCTTCTCGCATTGAACTGATCACAGCAAGAAATGGAGGCATATGCAGCCATGGTGTATAGTCAGAAAACTCTGTAGACCATCTAACAGGTGCTGACGGTCACCCCCCCCCCCCCCCAAAAAAAATGTATCCTACTTCACCAATACCACCTGTCCCGCACACATGTATTTCTCCTTGTTAGTGTAAAGGCCAGACTTATGGAAATACTTTCTGTCTCTGACAAGCAGTGTGGTTCACAACTTGTGCACATTTTGGATACGGGTGGAAAAACACACACAGATTCTGCACTCCTGGTGCTTTTACAAAACCTATATAAGAGCACAATCTGTAAATCTGAACACATCAACAAAAATCCTCTTCATTCCCCAGTTTCCAGCCTTTAGTGGGAGGGAGGTTAGGGGAAAAAAAAGCTGAGAAGACTTTCCTCTCCTGCCAGGATGAAAGCCGCTTTTACTTGGGAGAACATTAGAAGAACAAACTACCATCGCAACAGGAGGCAGAACAGTCAACCCCGGCATGCTTTCACATCAAAAAAACAACTACCATTAATTTTATAATGCTTCCTCCCCCGAGTGCTTAAAATAAACGTGTGTGGTCACAGAAAGGCCTTTAACAGCAGAAGAAACATGTGCTGTCAAGTCAAAATTTGTATTTTATCACCTGTATTAACTTTTTTATACTCGCACTCTAAAACCTTTTTCTTGTTTTTCCCCCGCAAACCGAAATGTAAGCAACTTGGAATTTGCATATGCTTAACGCAGCTGTCGATGCACGGAGAGGAAACGCACGTCCACCAGATGAAGAGCATGCATGCTGATAATAATAGCAGGTAGCAGATACTATATGTGTATGCATGAGCATCGAGTGGTTGCTATTGATCTCTTGTGGTCTGCAAGGGGGATGTAAACAGTGTGTCTTTCAGCGGGAAGCACCGGTCAATACCAGCAGTCAACGGCAGCTGTACACAAAACACAGACCCTTCCCTGTTAACAAATCAGCAATCACAGACAAGAGGCACCTGAAGAAGAGGGATCACAAGCTCCTATGAGCTATTTCTTTAATAACTGCCTTTATGAAAGTGTCTTTAACTGCCTGCAAAGTTTTCAAATAGAAGCCGTGTCCGAAACATCTCAAACCCGTCAAAGTGCAGGGAGATCAACTGTGTTGCAAATCTCAGATGAATCTTTGTCAAATTGATTCCAGTTCACGCTGCACTACGGCGCTAACAAGGCATGAATAACTCACCGTGGAGGACACTTGCACACTGAGCAGATCTGGTGCTAAATTCACAGTGTGTGTGGTGCATAATTGTTTCGCCACGATTAACTTCCTCCAGGATTTCTTTTTCAACTTCTTCCAGAGCCTYGTCAACTCAGACAGGACAGACTTTGACAAGTTGTGTTTGATTCAAACTCATTATGCACAAATTGGGTTTTGTGTAAAAAAGAAAACACACAAATAAACCAAGGAATTTTTTTTTTCATTTTTTGCTTTATTACTTGAAAGCTGTGCTTCTAAATATCAAAGAGCAGTTCAGGCAGTCTCATCATTTTCTGCAGAAATGCTGCAATAAATAACTTAAGCTGCAAATTGCGTTCCCTGTAAAAATTTAATGTAAATGTTTAATGTTGAATAATTTAAACAAAAGCTGCAGAAGAAGCTGAMATATGTTTAAATGCCGAACTACTAATGCTTGCCAATTTTTATCAGTTGAGGTGGAACTCAAAATTAGCTGAATGATTGCTGAAGTTTGCTGAAGAACCCAAATGATGGAAACAAAAGCTTCAAGRTGCAGAAAATAGCTGAAAAATGCAAAAATATGCGGATGAAAAGAAAAATTAGWAGAAATATAGCTGAAGAGGATGGAAAGAAAATAAAAAATAACAAAAGAAAAGTTTAAAGTAGCAGTAAAAAAAAGAGCAAAAATTAGCAGAAGATTAGCAGGAAAGGCCAGAATGATAGCTAAAAAAGGCTAAAATTAGCAAAGTAGAAACCGGAGGAAGCTGAAATTAGTGTACATTTTTAAAAACCAGTACCAAAACTAAATGTAAAAAGTGCAGTAAAAATTTATAAATATTTTGAAGCGTTTTCAGGATGTTAAAGACAGCTCTATTGGTTTTCAATAGGAAAAAAGTGGCCAAAAAGCTGAAAAAGTATAAATTGTTAAAATACCAAAAGTTGTAGTCAGAATGTCCTGAAAGAGTTGAACAATATGATATATTAATTGTTGAAATGGAACAAAAATTGTGGAAAAAGGTATGTGCCAAAAAACAGAAGGAAGAAATAATGACGATATTATTGAGGAATGCTTTAAAATGAAGCTTTGAATATAATAAGCATTCACAAAATAATATGAACTATAACAGTTTGACAATAATTTGTTTGTCTTGGATTTCTTTGTGTTATAATCCACAAACTGGACCTTTAACTCCTGCAGTACAACAGAAGGGCTCTCACACATCTGGCTCCAGTTATTGTAGCTCTCACTTAGCTTTGCCTTCATGTGTGAGTTGCCGATACACACACACACACACACACACACACACACACACACACACACACACACACACACACGGCTGTGGTCATGGCGTGTTGTTGCCACTCAACTCCTCCAGTTTCCCCACCTCGTGTTTCTGTTAAGAAACCATTTTCATTCCAGCTCAGGCCCGCGGCGGAAAAGCATCTCCCTGAGGAAAATAAGCATGACTCGCTCCAGTGAAGACATCTGCCCTTTGAAAGTGAGCATGGCTGTTTGAACAGCTGTCAGAGCGCACCGAGCATTTCAGACCGCCACTGATAAAACAGAGGAGAGTCTGGGAGGGAAGAAAGACACGGAACGGACAGAAGGAGACAGCACAGACAGTGACACACACACACACACACACACACGGCTGGTGGGTAGAGGTGTCATGTACTTCCTTACTGTTTGGACTGACAAGAAAGTATTAGAGGAAGTACAGCTCATGGTCACCTGTGTGCAAAAACTGGAGGCTGGAACAAAAAGTCCCCTGCAGATGGGAAAAAAAGCAACACGTTGCCTTGCAAAAGTTGGATTTGTTTTGAAGTGCGTTCAGTTGATGTCATGCTGTTTATTTGCAGCATTTGATCTACTTTTCGTAKTTAGGTGTTGTCTTCAATGCGTGCAACGCTTGGCTTCACTCAGTAATTTCCCCAAATGATGAAAAAAAAAACTTTTAAAGGAATCAAAGTAAGATTTTATGGTCCAGTTTGCCGTTAAGCTCAAATCTGCTCTGCCCATTGTGACTGCGGCAGAAACTCTCGCCCTCAAAGAAGATTTTGAGCTTAACATTTAAGACTTTTGGTCCTGAAGTGAGTGTCTGTTACCCAGTCAAGAGGAACAAGTGTATGTCAGACTTAGAAAAGTGCTGGGAGCTCAATTGCATTAAAGCTCTTAGTTTGCCTGAGCTCCAATCTAATTGGATAAAGCTGGAAAAGCAGCTTCCAATGTGCTTGAATCCATTTCACACACACACACACACACACACACACACCCCTTTCTTTTGGAAGAAGAAGTGATGTTCTCCATGTTCTCTTCCAGCCTGTCTTTTGTCCTTGTCAACATTCTCCAAATGAGATCCCCACCACCACCACCACCACCTCGTCTCCCTTCCGAATCAGGTGGTGAGCAGTGCATGCTCGAGTGCACCGAGCAAACACTGCTTTCAGACACACCTCTCACACCACGGCGCGCCGCCTGGCATCTCTTCTTTTCCCGTCCTTATTAAAATTCCATATTGAGATTCCTCGCTGCCACTCCGCCTCCCCGGCCCTGTCACTCAGCCACCAACCGGCGACAAATTCCGCCAAGTTTCAACAAAGACATGCACATATGCAAAGCGACACACACACAAGCGCACAATCCAAAACTTTTCTTAAGACAACTCGTCCCCGCTGCTCCCGCCCTTTATGTGTGGGATGAAAGTTTTCTTTAGGTGGTGTGTATGAGAGCACGCATCAGCGTCTCCTCTTCTCTTTGCC